GGAAGATGCTTCCTGCTGATGTGCAGAGTCTGAGCAACAGGGCTACTGCTCCCTCCCTCTGTCCCTCCCTCCCGCCTTCTCTTCCTATCTTGTTTATCATTCGGATGCAGTATCAATGGCTCACACTGTCCCTGACCCACCAGGGAAACCAAGAGAGATATTCATTCATTCACTCACTCATTCACTTATTCCGGAGACAGGGTCTCCGGGTTACAGCAGAAGACCAGGGTTCCATCTCTGCTCTGTCCTGTGGGACCAGGGCTGGTGGCTCAGCATCCCTGCCTGTCCCTCCCACTTGTCCTGGCTCAGCCCTCCTTCTCCCTGTGGAAGGTGCTCCTGGTGGCCTCACGGCGCCCTTATCACAGCTGCAGTTTTCCATGTGGGTGGGCAAGTGTTTGCTAGGGCCCACTCCCCACCCCCCAGAACTCTAAGTCCTCTGAGGGCAGGCATTGGATCTGGTTTTCTGCACCACAACCCCACCCCTGGCACATAGTAGGAGCTCAATAAAAAAAAATGATTGAATTGGAAACTTATTTTGGGGGGTTGTGGGAAGAGGGGTCCTTTCTTGACCATTCCAGAAGAGGAGGGGCAAGAGTGTACCTGGACACCTTCGGGAAAGCATCCTGCCCCTTTCCGAGGTCCCACTTTATCAGGTCGTCTCGCAACCCTCACGCTCCACCCCCACCCAGAATCCAGCCTCTCCACCAAGCGTCTGTGTCCACAGGGCAGAACCCTCACCCAGGCCAGTCCTGAGCCTCCCCGTTCCCACCGCCCACTTCCCTGGACAAGTGTCCTGGGGCCACACAGCAAAGCCCCCTCTGAACGCGCTAGTCCCCCATGGATTCCTCCTCCTGCAGTGGAGCCTCAGCCTCTATCTTTTTATTTGGCTTTAGAGTCAGCACACACATTTCTCTGCCCCAAGACAAGAAAAAAAATAACAATGAGGATAATGACCGGTTACTGCTGCGGGAAGAGTTCTTAGCGCCTCCCGTGCTCTGTCTCACCTAGTCCCCTCGGCAGCCCTAGGAGGAGGGTTGTTATGACCCTGTTTTACAGGGGAGAGAAATGAAGCACAGAGAGGTTTAGAAAGTTGCCCAGCATCACACAGCATGGCAGTGCTGCAGTCTGGGCGCGTGGGCACTCTGTGTGTTGTCTCCACATGTGTGTCCTGTCAACCCCTCCCTAAGTAGCAGAAGCCTGGAATTTCATACTTGGTAGCATCTCTAGGAATTTCCCATGGCTGCAGTAACAAACCACCACAAATTGAGCATCTCTGTTTTTTTGAATTTTAGAATTTTATTTTTTTTTATACAACAGGTTCTTATTAGTTATCTATTTTATACATATTAGTGTATGCATGTCAATCCCAATCTCCCAATTCATCCCCCCCCCCACCACCACTTTCACCCCTTGGACAAACTGAGCATCTTCAAGGAACAGACATTTATTCTCTCACGGTTCGGGAGGTCGGAAGTCTGAATTCAAGGTGTCAGCAGGGCTGTTTCCCTCTGCACCCTTCCTGTCTCTTGCAGCTTCTAGTGGCTGCCGGCAGCCCTTGGCTTGTGGCTGCATTCCTCTGATCCCTGCCTCCATCATCACATGGCCTTCCTCTCTGTGTGTCTTCTCTCCTTTTCTTCTCTTATAAGGATTTAGGATGCATCCTAATCCAGGGTGATCTCATCTCAAGATCCCTAATTCGAGATGGGGTTGGTGGTCTGGACCGATGGCCTGGGCGCCCTGGGGTGGGTGCCACAAGGCTGGGCATTCCCATTCTCTGTCCTGCAGGCAGCAGCGACTGGAGCGCCCATCTTCTGGAGAGCAGGTTGTTAAATACTCAGGAATGTCTGGAGCAGCTGTAAAGGGCTGGTCACTCTGAATCAGCCAAGCTGGGCGTATTTACACCATGGAAATTGTCAAGCTCTACAAATCCGGGCTATTCCTTTTTCCCTTTCCTGAGGGACTTTGCCAGCACCCTGCACAGGGAGGAGAGACGGGGTCTACCTATGCTCCCAGGACCTTCTCTTCCTGCTAGGCCTCACATCACACCTGCCACCAGCTTCCACCCCCCAGAGCACTTGTACTGCCACCCACGGATTTCAGACAGCTCCCTCCGGCAAGCACCTGTGAGCACAGTTCGTGTAATAGCATCTCACACAAAATAGGGCTTTGTAACTCTGTTGGTAAGTGAGCACAGTGAGATAGAGGCCCGAGCCCCACAGCTGGCAGGTGGCAGGGCTGCGACTCACCGCCCTGGACGGGGGAGGGCTGAGCTCAGGCCTTTCTTGTGCCCTGACCTTGCCCAGCCAGAGCCCAGCAACCGGCCTGGCTGGCCATGGCGCTTGGTGAGTATTTGTTGAGTGGCAGGATAAATGGGTTGAATCCGCCACCTTGCAGGTCCTTCCTGCCTGAGGTTCTCTGATTCCGAGTCTGTCACCTTCTGGAAAGTGTTCCCAGCTGTTCTTCCTGGAACTCAGAGGACAGAGAGCTGCCTGTTCTGAAGGCAGCTGGACCCCGGGGCCCATGGTTGTCAAGCGGCTCTACACGGGGGACATGTGCCCTCTGCACCACGTTGCATGTGGGGTGAAGGCCCGGGGAGACATGGGGGGGTTTCAGATTTCATTGTGAGCCCTTATCTGTAGCTGCTCTGTACCTACAGTGACGTCAGCTCTCATGAGCAGCTGATCTGTAATTTCCTGGTCTGAAAAACAGAAACCCATCCAGGTATTCAGAGGGGATTTAACACAAGGTGCTGGTCACAGTGCTGGAAGGACTAGAGGGGCAGGGGAAAGGAGGTGATGTCCTGAGATCAGAAGCTGCTCCCTCCACTGGACAGAGCCCCGAGTCCCTGCACAGTGGTGAAGATGCTGTCACAGCTCTGGGTCCACTGAAGCAGTCTTGACCGGTGGGGACCGCAGCCGAGGCTGCCACTGCTGTCAACTCAGGTGCCTAGAGACACTGTGTGAAACTGCAACAGCAAAGAGTTTGCTTCTCCACCTGCCACCCCACCCCCACCCCCATTCCACATCTCCCGCTGCTGGAGCTTAACTGGAGGCCACCTGGCCTGGGAGCCTGAGAAATGCCCCCATCACACAGAACAGGAGTGAGGCTGGGAGTAAAGCAGCAGGTGCCCAGCACAGTGGTAATGTACTTGTTAAAATACTCCATTTCCCAGCTTCCCCTGTAACCCAGGGTGGTTAAAGAGATGTAATGGAGGTCACTGTATGTGGCTACGGGGAAATCTTAAAAGGGGGACAGGCTACTTGTATATATCCTCTCTCTTTCCTTTCCACTACCTTCTGCTTTCTGCCTGGAATTTGAATGTGATGGCTGGAGCTCCAGCAGCCATTTTGGACCAGGCGGAGACCTAGAAGATATATGTCACTTTCTAAGGACAGTGAAACAGAAGGATGGTGCCTGGGTCCCTGATGACCATGGAGCTGCCTACTGCCCTGATTTTTCTTCCCTCTGGACTTTCATATGGGAGAGATGAAACCTCTGTCTTGTTGAGCCATTGACTGGGTTTTCTCTCTTATGCAGCTGAGCCAAATCCTGACTGGTGTCTTGATATTCATTATCAACCAAAAAGACTGAGACACAAGTGCCCTGTCTATGAAATGTGGGCAGTATATGTCCATGTAGTCAGTTTATTGGGAAGACTGCATTGCTGCTGGTCAGCCACTGCTTGGCCCCTGGCTTATGAATGCCAGTTCCTCTGGGAAGCGGAGGGGTGTGCAGCCAGGGAAGCTGGGCATCTTTTGTTTGGGAATAAAAAATGGCTGTCACTGGAACTATATGAATTCATGATCAGGTTTCAGGGAGGCAGCTCTGGGTCTGGTGTGGGGATATGGTTTTGCCAAGATATAGGGCTTGGTGCCCAGAGTTTAGTGGCAGGGAGGACACATGTGAGCAAGTGATTATACAGCCCTGACAGGACAGGGAGGGGCATGGAACCATTGGGCTCACCTCCTCCAGGCTGAGGAAGGGTCTGTGATTTCCAGGAGGCGAGACCTGAAGGAGGTCAGAGCCAGCCTGAGCAGTGGAGCCTGGAACAGACGGGGGAGAGCACGCCAGGCAGAGGGCCTGGCATGTGCAAAGACTCAAGGTGAGGAGGGAGAAGCTCTGAAACATTCGAATAAGGGGATGAGCCGCCTTGCAAGTGAGTTCCCCAATCCTGGAGGCAGCCAAGTGAAGGCTGATGTCCAAGGAGATGCACAGGACCTGCATCTGGCTTGAGGAACAGCAGAAGGGAGTAGGAGTCACAGATGCCCCAAGGACTCTTGGGGTGGTGGGAGGACGGGGCTGCCCTGGAAGGGAGGGAACCTGGGAGAGCCTGAGGGTTGGGGGACCTCAGTGGTGGTGGCTGGGAAGGAGCCGTGCAGAGGGAGGAGGGAGGCTGGGGTCAGCGCTCAGCTGAGAAGTGCCACCCTTCAGAGGCCTGCCCCTGGCAGGGTGCAAGACAGCGGAGGTCTAAGAAGAGGCAGATCCTGGGGGGTCTCCACTCTCAGAGGAGGGGTGGTCTCCAGAAACTCCCAGGACGAGGTCTGTCTGGCCTGCAGGCGGTAAGATCTTCCAAGCCAAGGTGCCCTTTGCCACCTGGGTGTGTGTGTGCAGAGAGGTCCCCAAGTGGTCAGTGAAGTCTTACGCTGCTTGTAGGCAAAGCTGCTGCTGGTGGAGGGGCTTGCCCCGGCCCTGCAGCCCCTCCAGCTGTGCTGGCATCACTGCTATGAGCGACTGAAGTCGGGGACCATGGTGCGTCTGTTATATGCCCTGGGCCCAGCGAGGGCCAGCCCAGAGCTAGTGCCTGGCACACGTTTGTTGAATGAATGCAAGACCCTGATACTCATCCAGTAGCTCACCAGAGGCCTCAGCTGTTCTCTTCGCCAGCGGAGGCTCTGCTTTCTGGAGTATGAAAGGGGATGAGGCCCCTTTTCTTCCAGGGTGGTTGTGAGGATTGAATGAGAAATGCATATAAGTGAAAGATCCTCAGGGTCCCCATGTCCTGCCCATAAAAGGAGGGACAGGATGAGCCATGGCTAAGGGCGTGCTGTGGCATCCCAGGATCGCAGAGCTGGGGCCTGACCCAGATTCCGGGGCAGCTGGACGGGGAGTGAGCCCCACAGCCAGAAGCCAGACCAGACTGCCACATCAGCCATGTTGCCCAATGTGGCCGAGCCTCCAGACCAGCTGTTTCCCGCATTAGCCGCCCCCCTGGGCAGGCCTCCAACTCTTGAAAAATGGGAAAGAAGGGGTCCTGGGAGCCTTCCAATCATTCAGTGTGGTCTCGGGGGTGCAGGTGGCCCGCAGTGAGGGTTCTGGGCCGTGTCAGCCTCCACCAGGGCCCAAGGGTCACGTTCCTTGCAACTGCACCCCCTCTGACCTCTGGGCCCTGGCCTCCCTGCTTGTGGGCTCTGGCAGGCCTGGCTGGGCCAGCTGGGCCCTGGAGACAGCTGCATGGAGTCAGGGCAGTGGCCAATGCTGCAGGGCTGGGCACTGACCACAGCCCTGCTCATCAGGCCTAAGTGGCTGAAAACTTGGGCCAGTGTCTCCAACGACTGTGCCCAGGGTACGTGTGCTAATTCCTGCTAAGTGCTCAAGGTGAGGGGTGAGGCTGCATGAGTGAGTGGCAAGTGTGAAGGCAGAATCCTGAGGTGACCCCAGGATGCCATTCCCTGGCGTGCAGGCTGAGATCATCAGCGCCCCTGGAATGTGGGCCCAGCCCATGAATCTGATAGGATTTCACTCTTAACCTCAAGAAAGGGGAGTATCCTGGTGGGCCTGACCTAATCAGGGCTCCTCCTGAAGAGAGGGGTTCTACGTGAGGAATGTCCTTTGTTACCGGCTCTGGAGGTGGAGGACCATGTGGCCAGGACCCAAGAGCAGGCCCCTGCCCTCAACCCCATGAGCTCAGCAAAGGACCCCACGTTCCAGGAGGGACTACAGCCCGGCTGTGTGAGACCCTGAGCCCAGGACCCAGCTAAGTCCTGTGCAGACTTCTCACCTACTGGAATGGAGATGATGAATGGATGTCGATTTAGGTGGGTAATTCGTTAGGCAGCGTAAACAATGAATACATAACTAAAAAGCACCCAGAAGCCTCTGTTTCACCTCATGCAGTCCCACTCACCCATCCTCACAGGAGCCAACCAGGGCCCTGCTCATTTCCAGGCCACCCAACCCCCAGCCCAGGCTCTGCCTTGAGGGTCTCCCATGGTGTGGATTGAATTAAAGAATTTTCAGAACTGCCTGGTTCCTGGAGCCCCGCCGAGGGCAGGCCTGCATCCGGGAGGGGGCTGCTAGGAGAAGCGTCCCTTGGCAGGTGAGGCTGGCCGCCCTGCAGAGGGTGCTCTGGCCCCATCACCCAGGCTGCAGAGGAAGTGACCTCAAGCTGTGCTTCAAGACTGGAAGAATCAATAAAAGAGCAGATGCATATTTCTCCATGGCTTCTCTGTGGGTGATCATACAGAGAATTGTTTTGAAAATAGTATTTTTGTTTTTTAAAATAGGATCTGCATATCATTAAGAAGTAAAATAAATACACAGGAGATTAAAAACAATTCCTGAGAAAACCATAATTCAAAAAGAGTCATGTACCAAAATGTTCATTGCAGCTCTATTTACAATAGCCAGGAGGTGGAAGCAACCTAAGTGTCCATCATCGGATGAATGGATAAAGAAGATGTGGCACATATATACAATGGAATATTACTCAGCCATAAAAAGAAACGAAATTGAGCTATTTGTAATGAGGTGGATAGACCTAGAGTCTGTCATACAGAGTGAAGTAAGTCAGAAAGAGAGAGACAAATACCGTATGCTAACAAATATATATGGAATTTAAGAAAAAGAAATGTCATGAAGAACCTAGGGGTAAGACAGGAATAAAGACACAGACCTACTAGAGAATGGACTTGAGGATATGGAGAGGGGGAAGGGTAAGCTGTGACAAAGCGAGAGAGAGGCACGGACATATATACACTACCAAACGTAAGGTAGACAGCTAGTGGGAAGCAGCCGCATAGCACAGGGAGATCAGCTCGGTGCTCTGTGACCGCCTGGAGGGGTGGGATAGGGAGGGTGGGAGGGAGGGAGACGCAAGAGGGAAGAGATATGGGAACATATGTATATGTATAGCTGGTTCACTTTGTTATAAAGCAGAAACTAACACACCATTGTAAAGTAATTATACTCTAATAAAGATGTAAAAAAAAAAAAAAATCAGACCATGTCCTGTTCCAAGAGAAATCAACGTTGAACATTTTGGTGAACCTCATGTCAGCTTTTTATGGGTACTCACAAATCACCCCCCACGTGCATGTGTGCTCACCTCCACACACCTGCACGACACACACACAGACATAGGTTCACAGTGAAACCCTATCGTAATATGTGATACGTGACTTCGTGTGTCTTCTCTTTTTGTTAACTCAGTAATAAGCCTGGACAGTTTCCTGGGCCCATGTCGACCTCAACCACAGTTCCCTGGCTTCGCAACTAATGGTGAGGAAGCAGTCTTTCCTTTTTCCCTGTGTAACTTTGATCATTAGGAACTTGGAACAATGTTTCACATAGTTATGGTTGCTGGCATTTGTATATTTGTATCTCTCTCTCTCTCATTCCAGTTTGTTTACTGCCAGTTTTTCTACTGAGTATTTTTCATCCCTTTAAAAGACTTCTGAGCGTGGAGATTGGTTCTAGATGGTGGAGTAGAAGGACGTGCTCTCACTCCCTCTTACAGGAACACCAGAATCACAACTCACTGCTGAACAATCACCAGGAAGACGCTGGAACTCAGCAAAAAAGATACCCCGCATCCAAAGACAAAGGAGAAGCCGCAACGAGACGGTAGGAGGGGCGCAATCACAGTACAATCAAATCCCATACCTGCTGGGTGGGTGACTCACAAACTGGAGAACACTTATACCGCAGAAGTCCACGCACTGGGGTGAAGGTTCTGAGCCCCACGTCAGGCTTCCCAATCTGGGGGTCCGGCAACGGGAGGAGGAATTCCTAGAGAATCAGACTTTGAAGGTTAGTGGGATTTGATTGCAGTACTTCGACAGGACTGGTGGAAACAGAGACTCCACTCTTGGAGGGCACACACAAAGTAGTGTGCACATCGGGACCCAGGGGAAGGAGCAGTGACCCCATAGGAGACTGAACCAGACCTACCTGCTAGTGTTGGAGGGTCTCCTGCAGAGGCAGGGGGTGGCTGTGTCTCACCGTGAGGACAAGGAAACTGGCAGCACAAGTTCTGAGGAGTACTCCTTGGCGTGAGCCCTCCCAGAGTCTGCCATTATCCCCACCAAAGAGCCTGGGTATGCTCCAGTGTTGGGTCACTTCAGGCCAAACAACCAACAGGGAGGGAACCCAGCCCCACCCATCAGCAGACAAGTGGATTAAAGTTTTTCTGAGCTCTGCCCAACAAAGCAACAGCCAGCTCTACCTGCCACCAGTCCCTCCCATCAGGAAACTTGCACAAGCCTCTTAGATAGCCTCATCAGCCAGAGGGCAGACAGCAGAAGCAAGAACTACAATCCTGCAGCCTGTGGAACAAAAACCACATTCACAGAAAGATAGACAAGATGAAAAGGCAGAGGGCTATATACCAGATTAAGGAACAAGATAAAACCCCAGAAAACAACTAAATGAAGTGGAGATAGGCAACCTTCCAGAAAAAAAATTCAGAATAATGATAGTGAAGATGATCCAGGACCTCGGAAAAAGAATGAGGCAAAGATCGAGAAGATGCAAGAAATGTTTAACAAAGACCTAGAAGAATTAAACAACAAACAAACAGAGATGAACAAAACAATAACTGAAGTGAAAAATACACTAGAAGGAATCAATAGCAGAATAACTGAGGCAGAAGAACGGATAAGTGACCTGGAAGACAGAATGGTGGAATTCACTGCTGCGGAACAGAAAAAAGAAAAAAGAATGAAAAGAAATGAAGACAGCCTAAGAGACTTCTGGGACAACATTAAATGCAACAACATTCGCATTATAGGGGTCCCAGAAGGAGAAGAGAGAGAGAAAGGACCCGAGAATATATTTGAAGAGATTATAGTCGAAAACTTCCCTAACATGGGAAAGGAGATAGCCACCAAACTCCAGGAAGTTCAGAGAGTCTCATACAGGATAAACCCAAGGAGAAACACTCCGAGACACATAGTAATCAAATTGGCAAAAATTAAAGACAAAGAAAAGTTATTGAAAGCAGCAAGGGAAAAATGACAAATAACATACAAGGGAAGTCCCATAAGCTTAACAGCTGATTTCTCAGCAGAAACTCTACAAGCCAGAAGTGAGTGGCATGATATACTTAAAGTGATGAAAGGGAAGAACCTAAAAGCAAGATTACTCTACCAGGCAAGGATCTCATTCAGATTCGATGGAGAAATCAAAAGCTTCACAGACAAGCAAAAGCTAAGAGAATTCAGCACCACCAAACCAGCTCTACAACAAATGCTAGAGGAACTTCTCTAAGTGGGAAACACAAGAGAAGAAAAGGACCTACAAAAACAAACCCAAAACAATTAAGAAAATGATAATAGGAACATACATACCGATAATTACCTTAAACGTGAATGGATTAAGTGCTCCAACCAAAAGACACAGGCTTGCTGAATGGATACAAAAGCAAGACCCATATATATGCTGTCTACAAAAGACCCACTTCAGACCTAGGGACACATTCAGACTGAAACTGAGGGGATGGAAAAAGATATTCCATGCAAATGGAAATCAAAAGAAAGCTGGAGTAGCAATACTCATATCAGATAAAATAGACTTTAAAGTAAAGAATGTTACAAGAGACAAGGGAGGACACTACATAATGATCAAGGGATCGATCCAGGAAGAAGATATAACAATTATAAATATATATGCACCCAACATAGGAGCACCTCAATACATAAGGCAACTGCTAACAGCTCTAAAAGAGGAAATTGACAGTAACACAATAATAGTGGGGGACTTTAACACCTCACTAACACGAATGGACAGATCTTCCAAACAGAAAATTAATAAGGAAACACAAGCTTTAAATGACACAAAAGACCAGGTAGATTTAATTGATATTTATAGGACATTCCATCCAAAAACCGCAGATTACACTTTCTTCTCAAGTGCGCATGGAACATTCTCGAGGAGAGCTCATATCTTTGGTCAGAAATCAAGCCTCAGTAAATTTAAGAAAATTGGAATCATATCAAGCATCTTTTCTGACCACAACACTATGAGATTAGAAATCAATTACAGGGAAAAAAACGTACAAAGCACAGACACAGGGAGGCTAAACAATACGTGACTAAATAACCAAGAGATCACTGAAGAAATCAAAGAGGAAATCAAAAAATACCTAGAGACAAATGACAATGAAAACACAATGATCCAACACCTATAGGATGCAGCAAAAGCAGTTCTAAGAGGGAAGTTTATAGCTATACAAGCCTACGTCAGGAAATAAGAAAAATTTCAAATAAACAATCTAACGTTACACCTAAAGGACCTAGAGAAGGAAGAACAAACAAAGCCCAAAGTTAGCAGAAGGAAAGAAATCAT